TGCGTAATGTCTGAAGGTAGACATATTGAACATTTACTATGATTTCTACATGTTGTGTATTTTGTTATTAATAAATTAGTTTTGTTTATTACCCTTTAATCGTTTAATGCAGGTACTAACTACAAAATAACGATGTATCTCTGTAGTTGTTCGTAAAATAATTTTTTGCTGCGAACTGGTTTATTTTGGGCAAAAAACCCAAGAGACATTTTTTATTTAGAATGAAATAGGCTAACGAAAATATTTTTAACTCCGAATGCAGCGTTAATATTTAATATTTATTTAAGATACAGTTATATAACTATCCTAAATGAATATTTAGCAATTTCTGAAGGCTGTTTCTAGGGATTCTATCCCTACATGTCAGCGGAGGTAAGAAGATTGCTTCGCAATATGAAGGACCAGAAAAAAATTAATGAATCGCACAACTTGAGTTTAATAACTACGTCCGATATGTAATTATCAATTATCGTTATAAGCCGACTTGAATGATACACTTTCTGGTTTGCATTATTTTCGATTTTTCTAAAACCTAAGCCAAGCAACTCAGTTTCGTAATCATTCAACATAATTCAGAGGACGAATAAGATATATGTAAAAGTGTCTGAGACAATACTGTCTCAAGTGGTTATCAAAAGCATTGGTGGCCTCAATACTGTTTGATTTTGGTCTACAGAATTCGTTCAGATAAATAACTTTGTGAAATCGACAACCGATACATCAATTTATAAATAATGTTGTTGTGTGCTACATTTTTTATCTCATGCTTTTAAAGTATCTGTAAGGTACTGTGAGCGACATGAAAGCCTGTCTAATTGATCAGTAATATTTGATTTTCTATCAGTATGTCTCTCAACTGACACAACAAAATCTGTATCATATTTCAGAATTGAAGGATCTATAATTCCACGATGAATGATAAGGTTATAATTCATTTTATGATAGAAATAACAATTCCCGAAATAGTGTCGATTAGCAAATTATTATAACACACTCATTGATCTGGATTGGTCAAATATTAATATTAAAACACTGAAAATAAAGAGCAATTAGTTGCATCACTCAAAAATATATAAATATATACAGTGCGCTTCATAAGTGTTACCCCCACTAACTCGTTACTTGGACTCGCCGAGACACGTCGATTTTTTATTTCTGCAATGTACATTTGAGTATGAACAGTTCACCGCTGAAAAAGCAACTCGAAACAAAAATAACTACATGTACTGCCTCCCCGACCGCGACAAAGGACTTTCTTACTGACACAGACTTCCCTTATGAATGGATGCCGTTGTCGAAGAGGAGTCGTAAAGATTTTCGAATTGAAAAATTGTACCAGAGTTATTGAAAATGATGCAGTTATTTTAATGAAGTGAATCGATATGAACGTCTTTTAGTCACGCCGGTACCTAGGCCGGGTGGTTCAAATAAATACGTGGAATAAGCGTGGGATAAAAAAACACCTCGTTGGTGAAAGGTCCCTCGAGTAATGAAGTAAAACTTATTTATCTCCATCTATATGTATGTGCATATACAGTGCGCATCATAAGTGTTACCCCCTATCTAACTCTTGTTAGGAAAATCGGCGAGATTTTCTATTTCTACAGTGTAGGTACATTTTTGTATGAATAGATCACCGCTAATTTCATCCCTTATTGGAGGGGAGCAACCCTTTTGAAAAATTTTAACAGCATGGAGTAGTGAGTGATAGCTCCTTTGATAGGGTGTTATTCTCTATTCAACCGTGCAAAGGAAATGAAATTTGCTACATTGATTCAAGATTTATGATTGTTCAAGAATAACGACAATTAATGTAGCGCAAAAACCCTTAGAATTGAAAATTCGGCCATGTATGATATCGGTTTTGGTTCAGACTTCAAGTGAGACGTATTTGTCATTTATGTAGAAATTAACTGCAAGTTTTTGTAGGTATTTTTGGATATTTGAGGATAAAACAGTTAGTGGAGAAATTTTATGAGAACGGCAATGTGCAAAATAAAACACGTTCTGGGCGATGAACTACAGGGGAAGATAAACAATTAGACATTTTGAGCGAGTTTGTGAATAATCCGTCCTCATTGAGTAGAACTGTTGCCTTGAATTGTGATGTTTCGCAGATGACGGTATTTAGAGTTCTAAAAAATCATCCCTCTATTGATATATTGTAGGTATTTTTGGATATTTGAGGATAAAACAAATAGTGGAAAAAATTTATGAGAACGGCAATGTGCAAAATAAAACACATTCTGGGCGATCAACTACAAGGGAAGATAAACAAGTTGGCATTTTGAGCGAATTTGTGAATAATCCGTAGCCGAAGTAGCACGTTAGTGTTCAATTGAAACATATGCAAATCAGTGGATAGGTCGAGGAGGACCACAGAACTGGCCCGCTCGATCCCCGGATCTCAATCCTCACGATTTCTCTATTTGGGGCCATTTGGTTCATCGTACTCCTGTTCGCGATGTAGAGGACTTGAGAAACCGCATCATCGATGCGTGCAGGGTAATCAGAGAGACTCCAGGAATATTTGAGCGAATACGTGGCTCAATGCACCGACGTCTAGACGCATGCGTAATGTCTGAAGGTAGACATATTGAACATTTACTATGATTTCTACATGTTGTGTATTTTGTTATTAATAAATTAGTTTTGTTTATTACCCTTTAATCGTTTAATGCAGGTACTAACTACAAAATAACGATGTATCTCTGTAGTTGTTCGTAAAATAATTTTTTGCTGCGAACTGGTTTATTTTGGGCAAAAAACCCAAGAGACATTTTTTATTTAGAATGAAATAGGCTAACGAAAATATTTTTAAATGGTAAACAAATAATAAGACAAAAAGTTACATTGGAAATAAATTTTAGGGGTTGCGTTATCTACCCTTTACAACCATGGGGTAAACCAAATAAATTACTGGCTAAGTGTCTTCTTGGTACTACAAAACGTCAGGTTAATTTCAATATTGTAACTTTTTCAGTGCTTGTGAAAAAAATTGTTATACAAATTTTATGTACCCCCTTTAAGGGGCTGTATCTTAACAAGGGATGCTGCAATGAAGTTTCTTTATATGAAAGATGAGGAATCACCACCTTGAATGTTTTATACTTATTCAGTTACACCCTGTATATTGCAAAGTCACCATAGGATACCAGTGAGAAAATCCTAAACCCTTGATATTTTTTTTTTTAGTAATTCTGCCTTACCGGGACTTTTGGGTCACCTTGTATAATCATGAGAAGGCTTCATTAGATATTATAATAATTATTTCGAAACAAAAATACATCACATAGTCATTCCAGATGTTGACACAGATACTAATTCCTGAGTTTCAACAAAACTTGTTGAAAATTTTGTTTCAATCCAGTTCTGATTTTTCTAAAAAAAATTCGGTGGACACTCATCGGACACAACGCTGTTCTCTTCCATTGATTATCCATGTAATCACTTTAGAACCATTCAATTATTAGTTTTTGCTTCAAGTAAAAACTTTTCTGATGAAAAAAGTAAAAAAAAAAATTAGGAGTACTAGTTATTAGTTTAGTATTAGTTATCATGAGCATTATTTTTAAATGAACGCATTTAAGAAGTACTGATATGCACGACTATGGGAAGGTCATTGAGAAAAGTTGCTGGCCTCATATTGAAAACATTTGTAAAACTCGTTAGTATCGAAAAATTGTTGGTATTGTTTATATTGACCAGCAGAAACTTTTACCATGTTTTTTTTCAGTGTTTTGGTGATAACGGCAGTATGTGTGACAATATATTTTCTTGTTAAATATCTTGGCGAGTATTTGAGATGCGTCGAGCTGATGAGGAAATTGCCTGGACCAAAAACAGTCCCGATCTTGGGAAATACATTAGATTTCGTATGCGATGAAGGTGAGTTTAACGGCAGAATCCGTGTAGGATAAATGTGCGTTTATTATTATGGGGATTGTTAATTTCATCGACTAACACAGTAATACTAAAATTAAACTGTACAGTTGAAAAAACTGAATAGGGCGATGTTTCTAATTGAAAAAACAACAAACTCTTCAAACTTCTGACACTGTGCATATTAGCAAAAAATATGATCGAGTCATTAAAGAATTTCTCAGTGCTAGTGGCAATTTGTTATATATTTCCCTCCTTGTAAAATATTTTACTAGAGTGGTTGTTGATAGACATGTGAAAAACTTTCATTTTCATGTTTCTGAATTCAAGTATACCGTGCATTCTTAGCAGGGAGAGAAATTCCTCAATGTGAGACAGATTTATTATTTCTCAATATCTCTAGAACTGGATCTGATATTTTTAATTTGTTTTCATTAACAGATTGTGACAGTCGTTGATAGTGGTAATACCACTGTTTTATATAATTGTATTTTATTATCACAAACATTTTTCCATTGTTATTAAATTTTCCAACCAATGATATTAGTATTCCTGTCTTCTATTAATAATCATTTTAGGTTTTTTAAACCTCAATCTGCGGAAAAATTCTTACTGAGCTGAATTTTGGTATACACCTTCATTATGGCGTTTCAATGAAGATATGGGAAATCGACATTGATATCGTGCCTGCTAAAAAAGTTATAAGGGTCAAAAGGTCACGAAAATCAGTTTATCGCGAATATCTCGCGACCTATGGCTCGGAGGTCAATAAAGGTCATTATAAAAATTATTCCTCATATAATTATCTACAAAAAATATCTCTTGTATTTTTCTGTAAAGTCAACCGTTTTCGGACTAGAGCGCTGAGAATGCGAGTAGAATGCACTCACATAGGGTAGTGTATACCACATACATACACACATACACACAGAAAAATGCAATTAACATTTTTTGTAGATAATCGTATGAGAAACGATTTTCATAATCACCTTTATTAACTTCCGAGCCATAGGTCGCGAGATATTCCCGAAAAACTCATTTTCGTGACCTTTTGACCCTTATAACTTTTTTAGCCGGCACAATATCAATGTTGATTTTTCACATCTTCATTATAACGCCATAATGACGGTGTATACCAAAATTCAGCCCAGTAGGAATTTTTCCGCAGATAAAACCTCAAATGACTGGACTATAACTCAAGACTAGAATTACACTGTATAAAACAGTGACCTTCCTCAAATTGTATCCATAAAATCGAACTGACAGAATAATCAAACTGGTAATAGCTATATTTAACAACATCCACTCAATTGTAAACAGCTTATTTTTAAATATAATGTCTGGAAAGTTCTGATATCATATTAATTCGCGACAAATATTAACATGTTTATTTTCAAGCAATAGTGCATACAGGGCCTTCCAACTAGAACTTGACCTCCCCTGTTAGTCAGAAACGGACATGTAATCGAAAACTTTAAAGAACACGTCAATTTTTATTTCTAGGATGACTAATTCCGATATAGAAATCATACCCGAAACTTCAACCCCTGCAGTTAGCAACTACCCCCCTATTTTTTTCAGTGGCATGGGGGGTCTAGTGATACATCATTTGAAAGGTTTTTTGTTCCCGAAATTGGTTTATTCGTTATTGAGAAATTGAATGTTGAACGTTTTATTTAAGAAAAAACAGAAAATTCGCTGTCGTTCATTTCAATGAGGAAATCAACAACATATAATATCAACGGAAACAAAATCAGCAGATAAATTGTTCAAAATGACCTCCACCTAGTGCCATACATAATACAGTCAACTCTCGAAAGCGTTCCGTACATTATCGGTGTGAGATCAGGTGATCTAGCTGGCCACTCCACTGGACACCTGCCGATCCAACGTATCGGAAAACGTTCGTCGAAAAACTGTCTAACCCGAACATTAAAATGTGGAGGTGTACCATCCTGCTGGAATGTTATTTCATTTTCTACTAAATTATAATCATTTTTGAAAATTTGTGTAATCATAGGATTTACACAGTCTTGTAATAGATTCAGGTATGTGTCTCCATTGATATTATTTTCAATGGAGAATGGTCCAACAATATGATTACCAAGAATGCCGGCCCAGACATTCAATTTCTGTGAAGTTTGTGAATGTGTTTTCATCACCAAATGAGCGTTTCTTATGTCCGTTTCTGACTAACAGGGGAGGTCAAGTTTTCGTTGGAAGGCCCTGTATACTTATAAATGCGCAAGTCTTAACTCAACTCTCACTCATTTATATCTGTTACTCCGTACTGGTGAGTCCTAAGAAGATAAAATTTGGGATATAGGTGCTTTTTAGTTCTTAGTCGTAGATGTATGTAGGTTCGCTTTATATTGTAGATGTGTAATGAGACGAAATTTTTGAAAATTCCAACTGGAAAAAAGAGCGTCCATAAAACAAAACTATGCCCTCAAAGTTCCGATGGGTGAATTCATATTTAGTATCAGCATTCACCCGTGGGCCGTTATAACTCACTGTTGGTGATAATAGACTTGTCTTTTTCTTCTTCAGCACGAATATGAATAATTTAGAAGAAATATAGTAGGAAGACAAAACATTTATTTCTAATCTCTCCTAAAAATATACCCCTTTTGACTCGAACTATTATTATCATCATTAACTGAGAAAATTTGTTACAGTGACGATTTTCCTCAAGATCAGAAATTGGTGTAGAACATATGGCCCAGTTTTTCGCCTGAATATGTCGAGCTTCTACCCTTCAGTCAACATTGCAGGAGCTGAACAATTTGAAGTACTTTTATCATTTTTCTTACATGTGTACATGTCTAGTTTTGATATCAAAACTAATACGATACATATTGCCCATAGCAATTCAGAAAATATTGATACTGGTGACAAAAGTTCGTAATCAAGAGCAGTCTAACTCTTACAGATGCTTTCAGAGAATTGGATTCTTAATGCCGAAGAATTATACTCTCATTGTCAAGAAAAAACCAATGGAAGTTGAATTCTTCTAAATTTTGTGGACTCGTAATGATAAATGTGATAAAGGTGCTACACATGCTATTTTTAAAACATCAACAACGACCCGATTGTTTATATTAATCGCGTTGCTACATGGTGTCGGAGTAATCTATCTCTCAACATATTCAAATGTAATGTTATGTCTTACTCACTGAAAACGAACTTGAATTTACACAACTACGTCATGAACAATCAAGTTCTGGAGCGTCCTGACACACTCACTGATCTAGGTGTTACTTTTGATTCAACCCTCTCTTTCAATAAAAATATTGACATTACCCTAACAGCAGCTTATCGCACGTATGGATTCTCAGTTAGAAATACAAAAGACTTGGAAAAAGCTTGAACACTGAAATTACTTTATTTCACTTTTGTTCGATCTAGGTTGGAATATACATATGTCGTGAGTCCCTACAATCAGGTTCATATGAATCAACTAGAAGCCCTACAGAGGCGCTTCCTTTTAAACTTAGCCCGGCCGAACACAACCACAACATTGCGGCCACGTTGTGTGGTGGATCCATGTATGGATGGATGAATGGATAAATAAATAATATTACTCAAAAAAAAGTTCCAGTGACAGGCAACACTTAGAAGAAACAGTAAATACGGAAAAATGTGTTTTGCACCAGAGTATAAGTTGTTATTGCTGGCTATTTCAGAATTCAATAAATAATATCTTCAACACAAAAACAAACACAAATCTTCGAAGTTCGTTATTCTGGTTTTCGTTTTTATTCCACTAGAATAAAACACGGTTTTTTAAAATATGGGTGTCAAATTTCTGAATTTGTCCAAAAGAAAAATTCCATCAATAAAATGTACACAAATCGCTAGTGACAGTTCTAATTATGAAATTTGCAGGTAAATTTTAAAATATAAAAATGGGTGTATTGCCAAGTTTTAAATTATACAGTTTTCCACTCGCCAAAATATATTTCTAGGTTATCGCATCCTCGATGAAAAATATTCGAAAGCCAATGGTATATTCCTTTTTGAACCGCTGGCTGGGGGAGGGCCTCTTGACTAGCACAGGTGAGTGACATTCGTAGTTTGTCTTTTTTCAAATTTTTCTATGATACTTTGATAGAGCTTGTTTTCCAGAATTCCATATAAATAAAATGAAATCGATAGCATTTACCGTTATCAAGATACGCGACTTTGAAACTGTGCGTTTGTTGAAAGCAAATGTGACGTCATGAGATATGTGCGATTGTCGGTACAGCGCCTGAATCACTCCTCAACTGTTATAAAACGGAGCATTCAATGTATGAGGATTGAATGAAGGAAAGTTCATTGAGGCAGTCATAAATCAGATATCGTAGTCAATATTCTTTGGATTACGCGCCAATTTCAATTTTTGAATGGAAAAAAATATGTTTATGAGTACTACAGTTTACAAGAACTGAAGCTATAGTAAACCTATATGTTCAATCAATATATGAAATAAAAGAAATTCAACCTTTTTTATTACAATTACAAGCTGTCTGTGATTGAATCTTGCAATGTTGATATCAACACATTTTCCAGTGTTTGACTGGGTTAGAATTTGGCACACGTGTTTGGTTTTCGTGACCATATATAACTTAAATGCCGCCATTTTGTAAATTCCGTCATTTTCACAGTGACCTCTGTGAGTGAGTATCACATGAAAAGGTTTCATTACTGAAACACCATGAATGAAATGATGTCACACTCATCTAGATGATGTCATCTAGAGTTTTGCCTATCTACAAAGCTATGACCCTGATGATACCATTAAACTTGAATCTGACAGTCAGCAGTCAATGATTTTATTGATAGGTACTGATTCAAAGCTATTTTCCGATTTTTTGGTCAAGGTCTGTAGGTTTTCATGATTGCCGTTTCGCCTATTTCTGCGGTAGACGTGAGACGAAGAGGAAACGGTTGAAGTGTTCGAGTTTGTTCCCACCCGGTGTTTCCACCGAGTGGGATGTCCTTCTTTGAGTATAATTAAGGACAGGTAGCCAGATTTTACTAATGTTCATTGCATCTTTCTTTCTATCGAGATTATTCCTGTGTTTCTGAATTTTTATTGCCTCTCCATATATGCTCAGATAGTAAATCTGAGTTTTATCGCGTATCTTCGGAAAAACGCTTCGAAACAGTATACAGGTTTTTAGATTGCGAAGGGAGAACATTTTTTGAAAAAGGTTTTCCACAAGATATGATTTTGTTCAGTACCATCTCCATCTTATGTGGTAGCGCTTAAGTTGAAAGTGAAGTACTTCGTACGTTAAAAGTTATTACCTCGTTAATCGTAAGCATCATCAGGAGATGACCAAAACTAATGCATCTACTGAGAATGATGACTGGTTTATGGAAACGCTCGTCAAGAGACATTATTTTTGTTCTGAGTGACAAAATCGTTTTCAATAGATTTCAAACATGGTTTCGATCCCCTTTGATAAAAAAGGAGGTTTCTGATGAAATTCAAAAAGAAAAGTAAAAATTATGAATTCTATGTTGATCTCTAATTATATCGTGTTCAAAACCCACAGATTATTCTCATTCAAACTCTCTTCCAGGATCGAAATGGCATACCCGGCGAAGAATTTTGACGCCAGCCTTTCATTTTAGTATTTTGCAACAGTTTGTTGGAATATTCAACAGCGAAACAGAGAGATTGATTCAAATTCTCAAAAAAGAAACCGAACATTCTTCGACCAATGTTATGCCTTTGATATCTCAGTTTACACTATATACAATGGCAGGTAAGTGAGAATGCTAATAATATTATGAACAGGATTGATTTGGTGGAACACCAAATGTAACCATTTTCTCAGTATTCCAAATTTCGCTAAGTTTTCGTCCACTTTGTGAATTCAATGAAGAGCAAATTCGGACATTCTCTACCCAATTAAAATATTTTCCACAATGCTGTGTTGCCACTTCCATTAGAAAGTAGTAGCAACTTTTTTTTGGGCGTACTTCTAGCACATTTTTCAGTAAAAAATCGATTCCTCTATCATATCTACGTAAATAAGCTACCCTTGTTACTAGTCGTTGTAAGCAACCGTTTTCTAAATATTTGGACTTGAAAACTTCAAGTCGATTATTTGATATAATCGATGCATGTTAAAGTTATTACGAATATTTTGCTTTTTTCACAAGAATGCTTTGGAAATGAATTTGACGTTTTACTCGTTTGAAGAGGTCATTACTGTTGGGTACGTTCCTTTATGACATCCTTAAGNGGAATCACCTCCTGAAGTTTGTCAAAGTACTTTTGAATCACCCTGTGTAAATTCCTAACAGGTTTGTACTCGTTGAAATATTTAGTCTTTCACTACTGAGCTGAAAATACTCCGGAATAGAAATATTCATGTGAACAGTTTTAAACGAAATGCAGTCTGTTTTAGATGTGTTTAACAATAACTTGTTGGTATTGAAATATGTGGATTCTATAGAAATGCTATTTGAAATGGATTTTTCCAAGTTGAGGTTCCTGTTTACTGGTACAATGAGATTGGAATCATATGCATAGCTCACAACTTTAGTACTTGATTTTTTGTAAATTTCAGAGAAATCATTTATGTAGAAAAGGTCCAAGTACACTTCCCTGTGGTACGCCTTTTTCTATTTCAGTGAAGTCTGAGAAAAATTGCATCATTTCGTTGCCCAATATATACTTATATTAGAACACTTCTCTCAAAGAGTCAATGATTATTTCAGAGACATCAATGGGGACAAAATTGAATTTGAAAGCTGAAGAAGACAAAAAGTACGTTGATTCTATAAATAAAATTGGAAACATGTTTGTTCAGAGAATGAGGAAGCCGTGGTTTTACTTTGATTGGTTGTACTACAATCTAAGTGAGTTTGGTGCAGTGGAGCTGGGATTGATTGACGTGTTACACAGATTCACCAATAACATCATTCGGAAAAGAGCGGAGAACTTTGAAAAGTTCGAAGTGGATGAACATGAGGAAAGAAATTACTGTTATTCGAAAACCAAGAAATTGGCTCTACTGGATTTGTTACTGAACGCTAAGGCAAACAGTGGGGACATTGACAACGATGGCATTCGAGATGAAGTCAATACTTTTATGTTCGAGGTAGGTCAGATGTATTTATGTTTCAACTACACAAAGATCAAACCTATTTCATGTCTCTACAGACTGCTTGCTGGGCAATTGAAAGCAAGCAAATAAACATATACTAGTTTGTATGATTTTAGGCGATATTTTTTTCTTCCTGAACCTGAAAACTCAAAATTCTATTCCTGAACGAAAAAAAATTTTGCTGGGAAATGATTCTAAGTGAATAATTAGATTGTTTGAAAAGTTTCACGAATCAGCGTTCGAAAATTAAACGAATTCAGCCATACATTCAACATACTCCCCAGACCTGTCGCCAATCGTCTCCCATATTTTCAAGCACTTCGATAACTTTCTCATTGGTAGAACTTTCGCCAATCAGGACCAGGACCTTTATCCCCTTCATCGAATCTCGGGCAGACAATTTTTATGTTGACAGAGTTAATCGACTTGTTTTATGTTGGCAGAAGTACACTGATTGAAATAGTGCTTATTTCAATTGAATTAAATAGTATTCACTGATATATTACAGTTTGAAGTTGACTCATAAAAACGGACAAAACTTTTGAAACAATCTGATACGCTGGTTGGATGGAAGAGCAATATTTGCCATGATTTATCATATCAACTCAAAGAAGATATGAAAATATTAAACACTATACAGGGCTTTTCATGATGAGCAATTAGCCGTTTCTGGCAAACTATTCAACGGATCAACCTGAAAATTTCACAGTATGCATAAGTCAATATGACCTACACGCCTAAAATATTTCAGACGAAGCGGCGTTGTCGCTTCTACAATTAAATGTAATCAATTTGTAACTTACGCATCTATATCAGATTTTTATACCACGCAATTTTTATTTGTAGGGATTTGACACTACATCTGTTTCAATTTGCTGCACGCTGTTGTTGTTGGCGAATCACAAGGATTGGCAGGTATGTGGAATATAGTGTTTGGTAGGTAACCTCCGAAAATCAAATTTCGATTCTCTCGGAGAAAAGCGAAAGCGTATAATCATTCAAAAGAATTCATGGTTTTGACAATACTGTATTTCTACACTCTTACTGAGGAACGGCGCATTTCGTCGACCTAAAAAACAATTTTCCAATGGGTTCACAAGGGTTAACAACAAAACAGAGGTGGTCCAAGGTTTGAACCTCGCGGCATTCAGAAAGAGACAGGTGAAGAATCACAACTCACTTTGTGCTTCTGAGAAAGTGAGGTTCAGAAAATTGTTAGTAATAAGAATTAAGTACAGTTTGCACAGTTACATGGACTTTAAAGGAAACCATAATAAAGAGAAAATCAGAAATACAAATTTTAAGTCAAATTTACAATTATGTTTCAACTTTTGATCGATAAAATTGAACAAATACCTAATTTCAAAATAAGAAAAATCATAGATCACTAATAATTCTTCACTCAATTTGAATTTCACTGTACATGCAAATATCATGATAATCACATTTTCTCTGGTGGTGTAACAAAATTTCCAAAGTTTCAATATTAACATTTGTTCACAAAAAGAATTTGAAGCTTTAATAACTTCTAATTATTTTATGCGAGAGCTTTCGATAACAGACTGTTTTGCCATCTTCATGGCTCTACTCAAACTGATCATTTTATCTTCTTGTTTGTTCTTTTATACGGTTAGAACGCCTTAGTGCAGGTATTTGTCCTCTCCTTTCATTCGGATGGCTCTTTAAATTTGCCTGTACTTCGCTTACATCAAGTAATATCCTTTGTGTTGGTGTTTCTCTAAGTTAATTGTTTCTAGGAATGTGTATTGTTTTGTGAAGTACATTACATTTTAGGTCTTGTTGTGTTTTCATTCGTTCCTCGATAAGTGAATTATGACATTTGAATTTATGGATGTTTAGGTTTTCCCAGATGTTCAAACGGTTTCGTTTATTTACTTGTTTTCTGTTTTCTGCTGTGGGAAAGTTATGTTTGTTTTGTATAGCGTGTGTTGCGAGGTTTGATTTATAAATTATTGGGTTTATATATGCTTTTTTGTGCTCGTCGTACCTTTGGATCAGTTTTTTCTTGGTTTGGCCGATGTAGAATTTGTTGCAGTCCGAGAATTGTAGGCTGTACACTCTGTTTAGGTTTTCTTCTCCTTTTTTTTCATAGCTGTTTATTCTTTGTGTTATTCTCGTGTTTAGCTTGTAAGTTATGTTGATATTCGAGTGTTTGATGATGTTTTTTAATTTCTTGGTTTGGTGACCTTTCTATGTGAATACAGTCAATCTTTGTGTTATTTTATCTGTTGGAGTAGTTTAATCCTTGTTTACGATAAATTGAAAAATCATGTTTGTTGTTAACTTTTGCAACCTTTGCAAGATGAGTAAAACTTTTCATTGAATTGGACTTTTTCAGCTTATTAAAAAAAGCTTTCTAGATCGGTGTTCTTCAAAAGCGTGTTTTTCAGTTTTTAAAACCATATTTATTCAAGATATTCATTTTATGCTAGATCTTCAAATGCTAATTGTTAAGTTATTCAACTCTCACTATTTTTATAGGAACTCGCTTATCAAGAAATCCTCCAGGTTATGGGCGATTCTACAAAACCACCTACCATCCGTGACTTAAGTGAAATGAAAATATTAGAAAGAATAATTAAGGAAAGCCTCAGACTTTACCCCAGTGCACCATTCATAGCTAAATTATTGGAAGAAGAAACAACGGTGGACGGCTTTCTCTTACCTAAGGGCATTCAAGTTAATATTCATATCTACGACATCCATAGGAACCCGAAGTATTGGACAGATCCAGAAAAATTCGACCCAGACAGATTTTCGCCAGACAACTGCGCGAATAGACACCCCTTTGCTTTTGTCCCTTTCAGCGCAGGACCCAGAAATTGTATAGGTGAAGTACCTCAAGGTCAATTCACTTTTGATGAGAATCTTTCATCAAATTTTTCACTCATAGATATGTTGGATTATTATTATACTTTGCATCAATTTTCAGTGACTGCAGGAGTCTGCATGAAAAAAAAAACCAGTTGAAGTTCATTTAAATGATTCAACTTCTTGAAAAAGTATTGAATATCTTCCATTATTTCTCTAGTATCCGTTTTTATGAGTCGTCTAACAACGTCAATAGTAATGAGCACAATGAATAATTCTTATTCATTCAGACTATGAACATGTCTGAGGAAGCTATTGTATAGCGAAACACGTGTTGCGTTTTGTAAACTGTTAAGTGAAATTCACACAATAAGTTGTTATTTGAACATATGATTCAATCCAAACTGTCGATTTTTTGTTATTCAAACCCATACCTATGGCGTTTTTGTAAATTGTTCTTCCTGGAAAAATTGTTATCGAAATTACATGTCTTAGCTATGTTCAATTGATCTGTTCTAGTAATTCTTGTTGACTGCATATGTTTGAATATTCTATATTCGAAAACATGAGAATGAACCATATTCTTTTTTGTCTTGATATTCCACCTCGTTTCCATTAAAATACATCTATAAACTTGATAGTTATCCAATTCAAAATTTCACGTCTGGGTTCCAACTTGTTGTCACCTTTTCCTTGATGAGATATATTCTCAAGTTATCTCACTAAATCTGAGAAGCCATAGGTGAAGATTACATTTCAGGAATGAAAAATTTTGTAAAAACTCTGAAACAGCTGAGAATCAATCAATTTTGTCTTCATTGTCCTGCATTGAAGAAAATGATCGATATTAATAGGTACATAATTTTTTCATAGGTCAAAAATTCGCCATGCTTGAGTTCAAAGCAGTGTTCTGCGGGATCTTGAGAAATTTCGTCTTGGATCCAATTGATACACCGGATAGTTTGAAAATGGTAGCAGATATGGTGTTGAGGCCGAAAAATTCATCATTGAGAGTTAAGTTCAGCATGAGAAAATAATAATAAATGTTTGTAATTACTGGTCTTTCATTTCCGAGGAGTAAAAAGTATTTTATTTTTGGCCAACAAACAAAAAAATTAAGTCGTGGAATTTCTACCCCAAAGTTATTATTTTAGGTATTCTAGAAAAAGGAAATGAAACTTTCCGAAAGCTTGAATGATCATATATTAGAAATTTCTTTCTCTCACCTTGTCAAATCCCAAATCCAAATTAGTGCAATCAAAATGTATCTTTGGGGTTTTTTCGGAAAATCCCGGGACAAACATAAACCTAATGAAAGGTAGAACTGGATTTTTGTTGTAGAATGACTCCGAAGCAAGTACACCAGAACTGCAACACTGTTTTCGACGCGCGGATCACCAACTAAGTTGACGTCTTTAAGAGTGAACTATATAGTGTACTATAATTGGATAATATTGATGTCAATACTACTACCATGCTTGAAAGTTGAAAAAAGAATCAACTGAATTGCAAATAATTTCTAAACTATGACCTTCACAAAAAATATATTCGGGTTTTTTGTTTTTTTGCTATTTCTCTATGGATAAAGAAGGTCCCATAATTTTTCAAACTGTTTGTTCATATATACTCTCCCACAATCTGAAAAATGAACAAAGCTGAATCATTAGAGAATTTGCTGAAGAGGAATAAAGGACAAGCTGAAGAGTTCACCCTGAAAATTCACTACGTAATATAAACCACTGAAGAGTCCAATTAGTCAGTAATTTGTCGTATTCATTTGATTTTGCCTATAAATTGGAAAAAAAACAATCGAAAAAAATTAAATTTAAATAAATTTAGTAGTCGATGTGTTGAAATATTTTGGTCATTGTTCTGTCACGTTTTTTAGGTCAAAATGCATACTGTGAAATTTTCAGGTTGATCCGTTGAATAGTTTATCAGAAACGGCTAATTAACGCTCATCATGAAACGCCCTGTATTTTCACATTTAGACTCAAATATGTTATTGATACAAACAAAATTCTGGGTTATGTCGAAAGTTAACGTCCTCTACAATGCGTAAGAAAGCGCCACGCCTTTGAGCTCTGAGATTAGTTTTTTCCTTCTAACTTTTCATGTGATCCCAGAGATTTCCTACTCGCGAAGTTACATTCGGAGTTGACTCCATTCAGAAAATCAAAGTCTAACATTCAATAAGACATATTATCAACCATTTGAATAGTTAACATTCATTTTATTCTTCTTCAAAATTGTCATTAAATTACGTTTGAGGTGAGAACTTATCTCCGATGCATCTTGCATAGTGATATTAATTGCTATTGTTGTAATTTGAAATAAATTGGATAATTTTAATTCAAACAGCGAGGCCGTAGATAAAAATAAGTGAAATTCCAAGACAATTATCAATTTGTATTCTTACAAAATGAAGTCAGAGGTCTTCAAGATCGTTTCTGATTATTTACCGTTTGTCTCATGGGGATTATAGATTGAGTTTCGAGAAATGTATAGACTACTTGATTCATGATTGTTATTCCTTTGATGCTATCCTTCAGAAAATATTCCGAACGGATGTACGTTTGTCGGCCTCTGCATGTGTTCTAAAAGTTTTTTTGTCTTCAAAGAGATAAATGATCTCAGAGCTACCTCTTTCTCATTCCAAAACACTAAGTGAATTATCCACGTTTCCCGTGAACAAAATATATCAGCATCCACCTATGATGGTACAGCCGATCCTGGCGTATCCTCATCTCCAACCGTTATCTATCACGATGCTCTTTCCCAGTTGTCGCTTCCTAATCCTTATGTTATTCATGGTTACTCTCACAACATTGGATACGAATATCTGCAGGAAATGCAAGAATCGAAGATGTGGATGAAGGAATTCTCAATGAGGCTGATCTTAGTCCCTTGGTTGAACCCGCACAGTCCCCAAAAGAACTAATTTCTAATGGAGTTGGAGTAAAGAAGCCTGACAGCGAGTTTGTATGCGGAAGGGTCTGCCCAATCGAAGCAATTACTGCTACATCAAGTTGATTTTGCAACCCCTGATCGCAAATCCACCAGTCCACGACTTGTTGAACAGCCTGAGCAAAAACATCTCTTCGAACTAGAGAAGGCAGTACACCCCTCACAAAACGACACATTTCTGTAGGAATGTGTCGTTTTGTGAGGCATTTTGACCAATCACCTTCCAACATTATGACGAAAGACATGAGAGTGGATGAAAACTTCCAAGAACGACCAAGCAGTTATTGTCAACATGGGTGTCCCATTCTGTCCAACTCTGATTTATAAAGTAATACTTTGCATACGGACAGACTGGATCAAGGGTAGACAACAAGATGCGGATGATATCTCTACCAGTCTTTTGTTGATTTCATTGATAACATCTTCGTAGGGGAAGATGTCATCACCGTTGATAAACTTATTTCTCATTAAATTTATTTATGAACGGAAAAAGGGAGATACACCTTTGGAAACAACTAGATGAAGCGACGTAATCGCAGTCCAGAATCTGTATCTATTGATTAGAAATCGATCAAGCTGATTTTTTACTTGATTCAAATTGACAATGGGATATTTTTTGAAATGAGATTCGTTTTTTCATAAAGGTATGGAGATGATGCATGGTTTCTATCGAATGATAGAAAGGAACTTTTTCGAAACAATTACTATTCCCACTATTTCCACTAACAGGGTAATAGTATTTGTTTTGCAGAACAACTACTATTTCCACTATCGTGGTAATAGTATTCGATCTGCAGCAGGGCTTCTGCCACCATTTCAACCTCTTGGTTGGGTGAGGCTACTACTTCTGACCATTTGTTGAAATAATCCATCACAACCATAAGGCAGTTGTTACCGGATGTGGTCATAGGAAGTAGAATTTCAACCCCGCTTCTCTCTAAAGAGCAGCTACTGAGGTACTGCTTCAACCATCTTCTTTGTCTTGCTTTCGGACCTTTTCTCGAAGAGCACAAGTCACAGCTCTTACACCACTCTTCCACGTCTTGGCAGCAATTGACCAAATAGTACCTCTCACACACTCTCGTAGAGTTCTATTCACTTTGAATTCCCCTTCCGTACGACCATCGGGAAGCTGTTGTATAATCACGATAAACATCTTTGGAAGGATTATCTGGGATTTGTGAGTTGTTTCATCCGGGCTTTCCCATTTCTAAGTGAGTAGGTAATCTCTAATATACATCAACTCCCATTGGAGATAGCAACCCCTTTCGTTCTGGCGGTGTTTGTGAATATCTTGCCATTCCGGTATCATTCTGTTGAAAATTCATTACCGAATCCTCCTTCTGCGATGATCAGTGTTCCTCACATCTTCTGTTCTTATCCCTATACAAGAAACCCATACAGGTCGCTACCCTCCGGGTCAGAGGGAACCCAAAGCAGTGGGAGGTAGGGGAGATTACCTCCCTATCAGAGCTGTTCATCAAGGAGTTTCTGCCCGCTACCTCGTCATGTCTGGTGGAAAGTTCTGCTTCCAGTAACTGGTGATTATTCAGAAATCCATCGACAACTAAGCTGTTACTGTTGCGTCCTATCGTGGAAATCGAATACCTGAGGACTTGGGATGCAGCCAATATACCCCCCATCATTGGCTGAACCCCGACGCTCTCGCTTGGGTGAACTCGATAGTCAGTCTCTTCTTTTTTCGGATCCTGAGCGTGATGGACACGCCCTAAATGTCGCTCTCTGCCGCAGTTATAGCATTCAGGATGTCTTCTTGTATTGGCAGCAGTTCCATCGATCCATTTTTTTCAAAAACTTCTCTAGACCCACCATGAGTCGATCTGTTTCTGGATCTTCCTATTCATTGGTGGCCCTCACTAAAACTTTTCGTCGTTGTGGCGAAGCATTTCTGGCAGCTTCCAAAGCTTCTAAAGCTGATACAACTGCTTTATAATCCTTCTGCTTATTCACTAGAATATTTTGCGAAATTTTGGAGGCCTTTCCTCGTAGTTCCAGTATGGGAGCTGTTGCTTCCTCCTCATTTCTCCATCCATTATTTTCCGCAGCGGCCCCAAATTGTCTGCGATAAATTGACCATGAAAATTTGCAATCGAAGGTTGGAGTTTCAATAAAATTACTGCTAGAAGGGAAAGATGTTGTTTCCGATTTGTACTTTTTCACAGCGATCCTTTCAGGCTATGATGATTCTTTACAAGTCTCTGGAAAATCTCTTCAAACTTCCTTTCAACCCTCTCTATATATTTAGTAGGGATTAACGGTCTTCATTTTGGTGTAATCTCGGTTTTCCTCGCTACTTCTTACATATTTCTCTATTCTGCATTCTTATTCCTCTCTTCTGCGTTCATCTTTCTCTCTTCTGCGTTTTTCATTCTGCGCCAGGCTCGCTCGCAAAGCCTCAAACATTTACTTAAGCTCTTCCATCTTGTCGTTATTGGCATTCCTCGTTTTCACCATTAAACAAAAAACTATCAGTCAATTATTCCACTTCCGACACCAAATTTTCTCCGTGGACTTGACAATAATTGAGAACACTGTACAATAATCAAACTCAATTTCATTACACTGATAAAACAACACAAACACTTCAACTAAAACTTCAAACTGATAGTCAAGTGTATATCGCTTTATTTTAATTGACTCCGCATCTCCTGTCACTTGACTTCTGCCCTTGAGCGTGTTGCTTAGTGGTTTACATATACCAATGGAAGTCTTAGGAAGCCGCTAGAAATATTCTCAAAGCGTCGCGATACCTAGAACATTCGCGAAGTACAAGTCGAGCTAAGCGCGATCTTGGCCACGTCACAATTGATTTAAGATGACCAGCGGCGGGCGCCGTTATTTTTTTCAGGAGATTATTTACAATTTACTATAAAAGAACGGCACAGAATTTGTACAAACAGTATTGTGAAGCCCGAAAATACTCTCGTATAGCGATACATGTATCGCTCAGGATGTGGAGTGTAATCCAGATCACTAAGTTTAAGGATTGAGTGGGAAATGGGAAAAATACCAGCGGGGTTCAAACAAAACTGGCTGGTATCTCAATTGCCACAAAACAAATAACCAGGGGAAAGGAATTTCTGGCAAAAATATAACAAATTGCACTGAAAATTTTTTGCCAAAAAAATTATCCTATCAAATTTGTCTATTTCTAGTCATGTGTTGTTGTAATTTGAAATAAATTGGATAATTTTAATTCAAACAGCGAGGACGTAGATAAAAATAAGTGAAATTCCAAGACAATTATCAATTTGTATTCTTACAAAATGAAGTCAGAGGTCTTCAAGATCGTTTCTGATTATTTACCGTTTGTCTCATGGGGATTATAGATTGAGTTTCGAGAAATGTATAGACTACTTGATTCATGATTGTTATTCCTTTGATGCTATCCTTCAGAAAATATTCCGAACGGATGTACGTTTGTCGGCCTCTGCATGTGTTCTAAAAGATTTTTTGTCTTCAAAGAGATAAATGACCTCAGAGCTACCTCTTTCTCATTCCAAAACACTATGTGAATTATCCACGTTTCCCGTGAACAGAATATATCAGCATCCACCTATGATGGTACAGCCGATCCTGGCCTATCCTCATCTCCAATCGAGCGTTATCTATCACGATGCTCTTTCCAATGCTCATTAAATTTTCCGATGCTCATTAAATTTATTTATGAATGGAAAAAAGGAGAT